AGAGAGAGAGAGAGAGAGAGAGAGAAAGAACAGCTAGGAGTGTGTGTGTGTGTGTGTGTGTGTGTATGTGCGCCGCGCTGCGCCTTCGTCCGCCCGCGCAGCGGGATCTTGGGGGAGTGTGTGTGTGTGTGTGTTTGTGTGTGTGTGTGTGTGTGTGCGCGCGCGCGTGGTGGGTGGCGGGGGGGTGAGGTGACCCCTCCCCCACCACTCAATCAATCAATCAAAAAAAAAAAAAAAAAAAAAAACCTTTTCATTTTTTTTTTTTTCTTTCCTCCTCGTTCGTTGCCCAAGTGAGTGAGTTCGGTGCAGTGATTACACAGTAGTGACACACTTGCAGCGAGATAGTCCAAGCAGATTTGAACACAACATTACCACTCCGTTATCTCAAAACGCGAAACGACTTCGTACTTTGAAAATGCCGAAAAGGAAAGACAATAGTAGCTCGTGACATCCAAAGCACGTACGCGAGAGTCAGCGCATACTGGCGGTCCCCGACGCCGCGTTTGGACTGAGGCCAGACCCAACCATCCTTAGGGTTAGTACGTTTCCACATTCGAAGAGGTCTTTTGAATTAGCTCCTATCCTATTAATAGTACCTGCCCATATGTCTGATGACACCCGCATACTAGTTCTTGTTGGTACCTTCTCGAAACAACCCATGTATGGACATGCTATCCTGGTTCCTAACAGTCCCTCGTCCTATTCCTCTTACACACTCTAGCACAAAACCCACCAAATCGGCAGAAAACAGATGCAAAGTACTAGGTTAGAGCCTACCTGTATCAAATTCTAACATCCATCCATTCAAAACAACAAATCCCGTGCGACTTCGACCAAAAAACGAAAACCAAAAAGCAAAAAACAAAAGCAAGGAAATAGGCAGAGCACCAATCGCCAAGTTCTAGGTTCGAGCCTAAACACCTCAAGCCCGAATATCAAAGGTAACCCTCCTTGCTACTCCCGCCCAGTCCAGCGCACGTTTCCGTACAAAACACCAAAAAGTGCGTTCAAACATGTCAAATGGGTACGACTGCTTTCGCAGTTCGCGATTCAACGAGAGCAATCCTTCTTCAACCAATTCAGCAGAGGATGAGCATTCCCTAATCCTATGCAACATCCCGTTGATCAGCATTCTCTTCTGTTTCTGACGCGTGTAGGACGCAAAGTCTTAGAAGCATCTGTAGGTTAGCTTCTCGCCTCCTTCCCAAATCTCTTTGAAATTCTTTTCTCGAAACCAAGTAGACACATTCCCGTCCTCAATCTTGATCCTACACCCGAGAAAGCTCCACTCATTCGACCCGTCGTCCGTCTTCTTCAACGACAACTTCGGATCATAAGACTTTTCGAAACGGTCAATAATCTTCCTCGCTTTCCCTTGGTTCCTCTTCTCCCACCCTTGCCAGACAAATATCGATACATCGTCCACCAGCCTAATCCCTTTCACTAACGACTCGTCAGCACCCAGGCCCGTCAGAAACTCATACTCATAGAAAGCACACAGGATGCAGGCGATTGGAGGGCTACTTGATCTCCCCATAGGGACGCCCTCTTTTTGCCTAATCAACCGGTCGGAAGCCCATAAGAAGGTGTTGAAGTGACTTCTCTTTGGAAGGGAGAACAGGAGGAAGTTGAGAGCCTTAGCCACTCTTTGGTTGGCCATCCTCGCTGGCTCTCGAAGAGATGGGGAGATCGGCCAAAATTTTGAAAGGTCTTTATGTTTGGGTAGGACATACGTCCTTCCCCATGACCCTTTGTTATCCCATTTTCCAATATTTTCCAGCCCTTTCTCCTTGTACTCTTTCCTTGCTCGGATCAAGACCTCCTCTTTCTCTCTCCACACCGCATCAAACGCGTGGTTACCCCAGAACATCTGACGCATTCCTTCTTCGTACTTAACTGGACAAACTACCATGGTCTCCGTAGAGTTCTTATCGACCGGGCAAAACACCAATCCTTCCCATTCCCTTTTCACCCTTTCGATCTCATCGATCAAACCCTCCTTCTTCGCACGAACCTTGCGTATACAACGTTTGGCTTGCTGTATCGTCCACGTGGGTTCGAGACCAGACTTGATCATCTCATCATTCAGTTCTCTACAGAGCCATATATCATCCCTTTCACTAACCATCCCTTGAATCACATTCTTACCATTCCACATCCTCATATCAACATCAGTCCTACTGCTTAAACGAAAAGCCACGTGTTCTCCCTGGCGTGGGAGGTCAAGGTTTGCACAACAACAGACTGTAGCCAAGAGACGACTGGCTCGTCTATGGTTATGGAGAAGACCACCTACCCTCTGTTTTTTTCTCCAGACAAGTCGTAGCTTCTGACATCGCAGCTTCGCTTCCGCAACAGACTTACACTGCGTACTAATCTTCTCTAGCATCAACTTCCTAATTTCCATTCGCGAGATCCTTTCATCATACTTGACGCCAACTAGCACCCTCTTCCTCAAGCTTACTCCGAATCTTCTTCTCACCACTCCGTCGATCTTATCTTTTAGGGATTTTCTTGTACTTTTCCTCGAAAAGCTTCTAATCTCCATGTACAATTCCGCAAACTGATCCATCGACTGTGACTCCAACTTTCTCACGGACCACGGACATTTCAACAGCTGATGTAGCTGTTTTTTCATCCCGGGGTTTCCTGGTCGTCTCTCCCGGATCCTTAGGAGCCTTACTTCGCCTCCCTCCTCGAACCATTTTTTAGCGTTCTTGAGCTTCCCTTTTTTTCCATTAAACTGCACATCGGAATCCCCGAAGGTTCTTCTTACAACACCCCAGTCTTCGATCCAGATCCCGCCACCGCTTGAAGTCACGATACTTTCACGTTTTCCTTTAATCGAACGGATAACCTCAGTTAACTTTCCTCTGCTCGACCCTTCTTTCGTATGAAAATGCAACACCTTCTCTTTCTCAAAGAACAAACTCCTCTTCTTCTTCCTTTCCCGTCTTCCTCTCCTATTTTTATTTTTTCTGTCTTTTCCATTCCATCCTTCCATCCATTAACATTCAGCACAGGACACCAACGTCTAATCAGCCTTTCTTCCAATCTCATTAGCTCTTGGCCCTCCGCTATCGCCACCGGAACTGCCACATAGGACTGCCACCCCCATTTCTTGAGCCATTGGTAAAGCTTATTTTTACGAGTCGCGCAATCCGACAGGGTCCGTCCTATATGCTCTGACCATCGGTCGCTCAATAGTCTCTCTGTCTTACCTATATAGGTCGGTCTACACCAAGGATCCAGTAGGAGGTACACACAAGAGTTAGGAACATCCCACTTACCCTTGGTCTTTTCGAAGACCTCCCAGATACACTCCACATACTTCCTTCCCCAGCTAATCTCGTTGTCTAAAATCAGAAGCAGGACTGCATTTCTTAAGATTCTTTCTATTAGAGGCATCAAACTTCTGGCACTGCGATTCAACTTACACCATTTCCGACACTCCAAAACTCCATCCTTCAGACTTACTCGTCTGCCTTTCCTTGCGGATCCTGGGATTCGCCCCTTATCTGATCTTCCTCCTCAGACTTGCTTGACGTTGAACACGACGTCTTCTGACCCCGATAGCAGTACGTGACGCGTAGCTCGGACAGTGTGTCCACATCGTCGTTCACCCCGTAGAACGGTAGACCTGCCCCTTTGCACATCGCTTTCAGTGTCTCCGGATAAAAGATCCGATGGCTTTCCTGACCGCCTCCTGTATGCTGCTTCAGTGGCAAATTTCTCCCCCACAGGGACTCCCTCCCATGGGTCTTCGCCCTTCATTACTCGAGTTGCTTGAGCCTCCGCTTTGGTCGGCCTTCCTCGTCCTTTTCTCTTCTGGCCCGTCAGCGTCTCAACTTCAACATTCTTCCCCATTTTCTTGGGAGTTTCAACCGGCGGGCTATTTTCCACCTCCCCCGTCGAATTCTTCCGCTTCCTTTTATCTTTAAGGGGCATAGCTTCTTCTTCGGTCTCTTCCTCATCTTTGGAGCTCATCACCGGAGTCACATTTGCCTTCTCTTTCTTCTTACTTCCAATTGAGACTCCTTTCATCTTCCGACTCAGGCCCACAACCTTGTCCAATTTCGCCTCGTATTCCTCACGCTGTTCCACTAACAACTTTTTCAACTCCCAGCTTCTTTTCTTCTCCTTCTCTTCCTTAGCCAACTTTTTCTGCAACGTGACCCTCGCTTCTTCCTCCCTTGCTTCTCGCTCTTCCGCTTCTTTCTTGTTCATTTTCTCGGCCTCTCGCTTGACTTCTTCCGCTTCCCTTTGCTGTTCTAGCAGTTGCCTCGTCATCCTCCCTACTGAGCTTAGAGACTCCTCTAGATCTCGACTCAAAGAGATCGTGCCTCCGGTGAGTCTTCCTTGAAGCCGGGGGCACTGACTCTTATAGCGTCCATATTCCCCACACTCGTAACATTTTACTTGCCTCCCCCCATCATTTCTTCTCCCATAGTCCTCCGTTGACGACCCCCGTCGGTCATCATACCTCCTTCCTCGCTCTCTGCCTCTATCGCGTCTGTCATCTCCGCTATCCCAACCCCCACTTTCATAACCCATTCGTCGCTCATGTCTTCCCCACGACTCACTTCTCCTGCTCCTCATCGCTCAGCTCCTCAGTCGACCCTCTCCTCACGGCTGGACTGCGCTGCCTGTAAACCTGGTCCCTCACGCAGCATAGTACAGTCTTCGACAACTTCCACTGTAAGATCCAATCATAGAGCAGCGATCCTTCTTCGTCAAATCTGATAACTGGTAACTAGTAACTGGTCCTCGCTACCACCAAGTTCCAAGTGAGGTCCCTTGGCAGGTTGCAGCGCTTGATCACAGGTGAGTGAGTTCGGTGCAGTGATTACACAGTAGTGACACACTTGCAGCGAGATAGTCCAAGCATATTTGAACACAGCATTACCACTCCGTTATCTCAAAATGCAAAACGACTTCGTACTTTGAAAATGCCAAGAAGGAAAGACAATAGTAGCTCGTGACATCCAAAGCACGTACGCGTGACTCGAGAGTCAACGCATACTGGCGGTCCCCGACGCCGCGTTTCGGTTGAGGCCAGACCCAACCATCCTTAGGGGGAGTACGTTTTGACATTCGAAGAGGTCTTTTGGTTGGCGCTGCCCAACCCCGCTGTCGGCGCGAATACCCTTACAAGGGTATCCGCCCTGTTTTTTTGCAAGTGACAGAAAATAGGCTTGGTTTGAAACTTGAGTATGCTGCACGAGTTGCGGTTGTGTTTGGTTCGCGTTGACTGAAGGGTTGACGGAAAGTAGAGAGTGTATGGGCGCGCAATTTTTAAGGCGCGCGTGATGAATTTAATTTTGGTGCTATAGAGTTGGCGTTTCTGCCGGCATTTTTTTTTTTTTTTGGCCTTGGTTAAAACTAGGAAATTTTTTTCTATTGAAGTGACCGTGGTGCACCTGCGTCCATACGGCATGTGTCATAGGAAGTGGTGTTGCGTTGGGTGATGATTGGAGCATGCGAGAGAAAATAGAACGTGAGCAGGGACCTCCGCGCGGTGGGCGCGGGAGGTTGACAATCGTGGACGGGGCCAGGCCCTATGAGCGGCGGGCGCCATAGGTCGACAGTCGGGAGTTTGGTCCGTAGGCGAAGGAGTGGCCTTGAGGTATTTTGGTAGGCCGCGTCCTGTGCGGCAACAAATTTTATTGAAATTTGCAGTAGTTCGTCTCAGTCTTGGGTACTAGCACTATTGGTACTGGCATGGGACTTTCAAAGCGACGGTACAGGGATCGAGGGCGGTGGCCGGCGGCGGTGGAACAACGGAGCGGCTGAAGACGCCAAGGGGTTGAGGGCCCGGCGGGGCTACCCCCCCCTTGATTTTGTCGCCGGCCCATCCGTAGGTCCGGTCGGCGGAACTAAGAGTGGTACTGGCAGTCTCCCTTCCCCAAAAGCACCGGTTTTCGACGTTCGTATTTTTATTTTTTTTACCTTTAGTTTTTTGTCGGTCCCGTTTCTGGGGCGCGGCGACAACGCTGGTACCGGAGTTGTGTGCGGGGACCAGCGGGGCGTAGCTCAATTGATACACCCATGAATTGTTGAAACACGGACCGAGAAAGTCAACGTGTATGTCAGCCGATGGGTGACTGGCCCGCGAGACGGAAGAAAAGTTGAGCATCGGGCGCCTCTCTGCAGGTGCGGCGTCCGCCAACCACGATCTGCAGTAGGAACTGAGTGGGGGCATGCCCGTCGGCGCCCATGAGGGACAAGGCTGGTCACGCAGATTTTACCAGAGTCCCTGAAGCACCATTGGTGTGTCCGTTTTGTCAGCGGCCTGTGGAGCTGCGGGGCCAAGGAGATTGTGGCTACCGCTGGAGATGACCGCAAAACCGTCCTATTCTGTATTATTATTTTTATTATTTCTATTTTTTTTTATTTTTGAGAATTGGTGGAAGTTCGTTCACAAGAGCTCTTGCACAACTTGGATGGTGCCGTGGGACCAGCAAAGGACCAAGTCGTTATTGCTGCAGAAGGCCGGGGCCGTGTCCCATCTGAAAAGGTGCAGCAGTGTGTGACCTGAACCATGCCCAAAACCTCAAATTTGTCTGTCCCAAATCTGCATACCTTTGCAGGTTTGGGGTTGCGGTGTGAGCATGGCCGTAGGGACCTGCATTGTGAGTATGCCCTGAGCATGCCCGTTGAGGCCCGAAAGACGGTAAACTATGCCAGAGCGGAGCGGCCCAAGGCACAGTGGGGAGGCATGCAGCTGTAGCCAGCTGGTCACATGGAACCCCCCCCGTCCTGCTGTTTTATTATATTTTTGTTTTAATTTTATTTATTTTTGTATACGCGTTGCTTCCAGGTTGAGACACGGCCCATGCGCTGGTTCAGGGGCTGGCAAAGGTACCAATGGGCTTAACTCAGCTAGTACACACAGAGCTGTAGAAATGCAGACCTGTGTTCGAATCCAGATAATGGAGCTTGATGAGTAAAACCAAGTATTTCTGATTTGCCAGGGGCCAGCCAGTTCCACGATGACACCCCGGGACTGGCTGTAGAACCGACTGGCCAGCTCAGTTGGCACACCCACCAACTGTTAAAATAAAGGCCTGACCTCCAGGAACAGATGAGACAATGGGTGGTGGAGACCCACTCAGGTTGCTTTCGGTCGCACTCGTTGTTGGAAGGAGACGAGGGGGGCTGCCACTTCGAGGGAGGCGAAGGAGACTGCCACGGGAAGAAAAGAGACGGGGAGGCGGAGGCAACAGATGCAGAGGAAGACAAAAAGAATCTGTCGCAGGACCTGTGCCAGATACATTCAGAAAAAAAAAAAAAAAAAAAGCCGATGCACCTGGCCCCAAAACAGGCAGGGTGCATGCATTGGAGTTTGTCACTCCTGGCTTCTTTCCCTTCTATCGATAGTCGGGTAGGAGCAGGTTCAGCCCGGTAGAGCTCGTATAAGATCCCAGCAGTCCAACAGCAGGAAGGTTGAGTACTTCACCTTCTCACGGGGCTGTCGGACTGGGCGGACGCAGATGGCGGAAGCAGGAGAGATGGTGGAAAAGGAGGAGCGGACAGTCTAGATCTCAGCAATTTTAGGACAAAAGAGAGGACAAAGCCCGATATGAATCTGGACGTGGTCCCGCGATAGATACAGACCAGATAGGAGAAGACGAAGACGAAGTCTGAGATGGCGGACAGAGGGAGGAGTAAGGAGAGGGAGAAAGTCATAACTTCCTCATTTCTCGACGGAAACGGGCAAGGCAGGATGCTATCCCGGGGTTTTGTGACCGGGCGAGTTCAATGGAGGCGTTAGTTATAGTGTTAGATTAGTAGGTAGAGAGTTAGATGAGAAAAGGGGTCCGCGATGGAGTCGAGAGAGGGAAAAAGGTGGGAGTGGAAATAGGCCGTTTCTTGACCGTTTTGGGCGCGTGAGGATGCTAGTCCGAGGTTTCAGAGCGCTCCGGATCAGATGGCAGCGTCAGAATTTGGATCTGAGGAGTGGTCTGGCCGGCACGGGCGGTAGCAGCTGCGCGGCCACTAACGGGAAGGTTCGGGGAAATAGCAATGTATCATCCCGAGTTCTAGCGGGAGATTCATGCTCATTTCATATATTTGGGAGCAATAGAGTGGGGAGATTTCCTCCTCGAATAGGCCGCCGACGTCTTCGTTGCGATGGTCGTCGCTACGGTGGGATTCGACCGCAAGTGTGACCAGGTACCAGAGAGAGAGAGAGAGAGAGAGAGAGAGAGAGAGAGAGAGAGAGAGAGAGAGAGAGAGAGAGAGAGAGAGAGAGAGAGAGAGAGAGAGTATTCATGCCTGAGAGCTGGCGATGCGGGATAAGCCGAACGTCCAGTTACGGTGTCAATCTGCGCGATGTGCCAGTAAAGGCGAACGGAATAAAACAGAATAGGTGGATGTATCTCCCGGGTCTTAGCGGGAGATTCATTGTCATCTGCTCGTATGAAGAGCAGCGTAGCAGCGGACCGCTGCAGTGAAGATGTACCTTTCCACGTTCTAGCTAAAGGTTCATTCTCAAATTACGTTCCCATCCTGCACATTTTGACGAGTTGGAGAGTGGGGACGCACCGTTTGTACCCGTAGTAATCGTGATCCTAGGCGTGCTCTTCGTTAGAAATCCATTCCTGCTTATGCTCGGCACCATCACGGTCGGCTCCATCCACGTATCCGCCAAGCTCCTGCATATTGTGGAGATCACCACCCATAAGAGTGTGATGTTGGTCGCTCGGGGGTTGGTCGTTGGGCGCTGCCCCTCGCTGAGTCCGCTATTGTAATCATCATCGTCATCGTGAAGGAGTTCACTACTCGTCGTTACATATGCCATGGTGGCCGCTAACGGAAGCCGACCACATGAACTCGACCAGGTTCCAGCGTCAGATCCATTATTGGCTAGTAAAAATCCGGTGGGCGTAGTTGAGTGGTTGCTCGTAGTGACCCGCTGCTGTTCCTGTTCGCTGATCTAAGGTGCTGCAGTTCTCGTAGTGATTGAGGCCGTGGCGCTGCTACTAACGAAGGAGCGCCTGCACCTGCGAAGAGAAGTAGCAAGAGAGGGAGAACAGGAGAGCAAGATGGAGCGGCGCTCACCATAGAGCTGAACGTGGCCATGACCCATTTCGCACATTTTGTGAGTGGTGGGGCAGGGCTTCGCCCAGGTGACACTCGATTGGTAGTCGTCCTGCCAGCGTGGTCTTGGCCGAGGCCTTCACCCAGAGGCTGTGGACTCGTCGTCACCACCGTTGCCGTGGTCGCCATCGGGTCCCGCTACCCGTCATCAGGCCCATCTCCATTGGGTCATGCCCCTGGTCGCCTCTAGCGGAGGATTCAATTGAAGCCGAACAGGGCAGCGACTGAGAGAAGGTGCGCGTGTGTATGCATGCCATTGAGAGAGGGGGAGATGAAGATTAAGGTGTGAAGGTACGTACCTGGCCACAACGGCGGTCTGTTAAGGTGTGAAGGTACGTACCTGGCCACGACGGCGGTCTGCACGGCGGACATCTGCATGCAGTTTGGTGGGCTGCCCGTAGTATTGTTTAAAGTCACCTTCTCAGGTTGCTATCTTACGTCAGAGGCTACAGACTGCGTTTGGGCAACAGCCTGCATTCTGGAGTGGTGACCGGTGTGCCTCGGCTCGCGGGCTGTGCGGATGGCTGAACTGCTGATGCTAAGTCCCATGCCGGAG